GAAAACCAGAAAAATGTGCTAGAAAATGATGGCCAGCATAACTCAAGTATGTATTTATATACATCATCTAGATACCGATGTGAATGCAAATGCAATATACCTTGTGTGCAGTGTGCACCTCAGCTGCAAGACAATATAGTGCAACGGTTGAATTCAAGATGTGTGGTCGCCAAACGCCACTTTAGCAACACGGATGAACCCTACAACGGTTGAATTCAAGACGTGTGATCTAGTATTATGGACTGTTATATATTATAAGAGAGTTGCATGGCACCAGATGTGCCCAAAGCTTATTACAGGATATACAAGGCAAAAGGCAAAAGGAAATCATGGCGTAAAAAATGCTCCGCTTCTACCTGTCAGGTATCGATATTAGGGATATCCAAAGCAAGAAAGTTAGCACCCACACTGACTTCCCCGGATGGCTCGAGACGTATTAAAAGGTCTCGCCCGACCCCAAGGCCGCAGGCTCGTCTCACCCGACCTCAAGGCCGCGGGCTGCGTCTCGCCCGACCCATTGGGTGCGGGCTCCGTCTCCTCCGATCCCAAGGACGCGGTTTCCGTCTCGCCCGACCCTAAGGACGTAGGTTTCGTCTCGCCCGACTCCTTGGGCGCGGGCTCCGTCTCGCCCAAGGTCACGGGCTCCGTCTCGTCCAACGGGAACCCATACCGCCGCCAACCACTTCAGGTCCAAGCGTATGGGCCCGGGTTAAAACTCTGACGCCAGGAAAGAGGCTGGCACGCCTCGATGTAACCCGTGGCCATGACGAGCCATACCTGGGGATTCACATCAATAACAGTGTCGGACGTGCCGATGCTGTTCTGTCTAACCCTCGTACGGACGCTGACAGGCGCGTCAGTTTACCACGACGTCTGCCGGGACAGAGTGGAATGCCATGACCGGCAGATGACGCCTGCGCATGGCGCCTGTGACGAACAGGGCCACGACATGGAGCCGTCCCTGTTGACATCTACAGGATCGGCGGGACCCGCATGAAGAAGAAGGACCCGACGATCCTGGATGCCTTCTTCTCTCTCTTTCTTCTCCTTTTCCTCCTCTGTAACATGTGCTTTTCCTTCGCCTATAAAACAGGAAGCAGGACACCCCATGAAAGGGGGATCGGATCCGGACACCAGATCTTGACACAAGAGCACGACATGAGCATACGGCTGAGCGGCAATCAAGCTCTCAGTGCCCGTTCACTCCTTCCACTAGAGACTTGAGATCCTTTTCCTCTCTCGCCTGTTTGTAACCCCTACTGTAAACCAAGTGCCGGTAACACGAGCAGCAGCGAACTGGACGTAGGGACGTTCCGTCCGAACCAGTATAAACTCTTGTGTCCTCCGAACACACCATCCGAGGCAAACGCTCATATACAAATTTACTGGTCGGTGATTTGAAAACACCGACACTACTTGTATTGTCCTGTAGCCTGTAACAACGGACAAGGCAGGCAGGCCTTATGCAGCTGGTAAACCCGTAAGAGTACAGTATGTATACATCGTTTTCGTTGAATAAGTCCAAGTAAAGGTACACTGGATAGTCCAGTCATTACCAATTGCATGCCCCCTTAGCCGGGCGAACGCATCACTGCGACCCAGCCCGAGCATCCGGCCGTCCGCAAGGTAACCGGTGGTGTGCCAAGGCAGAGAGCCGCAGAGGCAGCGTCGCCGATGCATGGGATGGGATGGGAGCTTGTCATATCCACGGGTGCAGACATGGGCTTGGGAGGTTGCGCGCGGCCCCTTCCCACACGTGAGCCCGTGACCCCTCCGCCCCCAGCCAGCCGCGCGCAGGCGCGCTCGTGTCCTTACGGATCCAGGACGAGCCATGCGGCAGCCGTACCGGCACCGCCAAGGCCGCGTCGGCTTCGTGCTCCAGGACACCCCTCCTTCATGTCGACGACAGGTGATCCCGCCTTGTCTCGTGAACACCGAGAAGCTGCAGCCTCCGTGTCGTTTACGAGGCGGCCATAGATTCTTCGATTCCCACGCTCCAATACTCCCCGGCGTGGCGCTGTGGTCTTGGAGTGTACCGTACGTACGTCTGACAGTATACGTTTATACGAGGCGGTGAACCAGTGACCGTTCTACGTCTGACAGTATACGTACAAAGCTCGATCCCGGTGCAGTTCGTTTGCAAATCTCTGTGCTACTGGCTTCTGGCTAACATTGCAGAAACATATTCGCATTGCTCGTGTACTCTGTTGAACTTATGTGCCTGTTGTTTGTTATTTACACCTACAACGTTCCTCACGAACTAAAAAAACTACGAAAACAGTGTAAGTTTGGTTTTACTACGGTACTTCGAAGTGACAGTGGACCTTCTATATAGCTAGATTCAGATATCTACCACGTAGGAGATAGTAGGACAAATGTATTTATATATTTTAAAAGAATAGATAAAATATCTTGAAAAATAGGGAAAATATATTACAATTAGATCTAAAACTTACAAACTAAAATACCCAATTAGCACGTACGTATATAGTTATTATTATAGAATCTTGTTTTCAGAAGTTGTTCTTCTATCCTAGTGTTACGAGTTGATCTCTTTAAATTCCAATGTTTTATGCTGATGATCCGGAGACATAACATGTCGCCCTCACACATGGCGCCATGCACCGTTCGTTTGTCGCTAGCATCCGATGCGGCGAATGCTTTATGGGTTTCTGTAGCTGTTTGACGTCACAAGACGGTCGATTGAGGTGCATCTTTTTTTCACGTAAATGACCCGACCGAGCATCACAAACGAGGTGTCTAGCTCGGTGGCTCTGCCTGCCAATGCAGTTGGTATGGAGAACGGTTTTCACATCGTGCGTTTTACCTTTTGACTGCGCGAATAGGCGAATGCATGGTGTGTGTAGATGGCCGGTCTCTGATCTGGCTCGGCAGAGAAAAAGCCCAGAATGACGCATGCAGCAGTAACCGACCCAGCAGATCTGCACCCTGCGGCCTGCGCTGCTCGCCTGCTCCTGCTCGTATCGCCTGCCGAAAATTTTGAAGCGCCTCGGAGCTTGTGAACAGACGTCGTCTCCGACTCCGAGTCCTGAATTGGAATAGCTCGGCGCCTCGGCTGCTCGGGTAAAGTATTGCAGTGGCGACGTCGAAAGCTGGGGCAGAGATACCAGAGTTTTTCCCGTTTGGACTGACCGTTTGAACCACTGCGCAGAAAAAACCAGAACCGGTGAAGCCAAAACGAGTCGCGTTGCATAGGCACGCGCCGGCGACTCCTCGTCCCTGCCGCTGGAACCGACTATCCAGTTGTCTCCCATCACCTGTTCGGCGGCGGCGCCACCGCCTTGCTCGCCGGCTCTCAACCCGCCACCACCGCTGGTTCGGGCGCTGCCGCCAGGCCCTTCCCTTCCTAATCCCATCGGCCATGAAGGTCTTCCTTGAAAATTCAAAACCCTAACAGTCGCCGCCAGCGCCACCACCCCAGCCCATGGCAACCACGCCGCCCACACTCTTCCCCTTCAGATTCACCGGCGTCCTCGCGAGTGCATCAATAGAGGACCATAATCGATTGTTGGAGATTTTAATGCTGGAATTCCTCAACGAGTTTGGCTGGCTAGAATATGATCGAGGCTTAAGTCTTGTTTCTTTCTCGTCCCTTAAACTTTGGACAACCTTTGTGATGGTGTAAGTACCGTGGATCTGCATTGAATAATTGTACTTATTGGTTTGTGGCTATTGAAGGCTGGAATTTTATGTTCCTTAGTCTAAAATAATATATTAAACCACTTAAGGAGCAAAAGTTGGAACCACAAAAGCTCCACTAAAAGAACAAACAATATTTTTTTCTCAATTCCTTTTGTTTCTCTTCCCTCGTGATATTTTTGGCTCCATCTAACAAATGTCGAGCCAAACCCATGCTCAATGCACCGTCGGCGAGCCGCCGCACCAGGCCATGCCACCCCGTGTGTAGGCGTTGAGCCGCTCCGCCCCACACCACCTCTTCCCCGTTGGTAGCGAGAGGAGAGGAGAGAGGAGAACAAGAGAAGGGAAGATATTTTTTTTGAGGGAAGAGAAGAGATTTTTTAAATTGCTGACATGGGGGGTTCACACATAAAGGGGATAAAGTTTTCTTAAATAGCTGAAGCATATATCATCTATGCTTTGCAACTCTTATACAAAACTTTAAAGGAGAAATGACGAAGATGCTCCAGTGGTCAGTCGGGGGCTCCTGGCTTCCAAAGCGGAGACAGAGAAGCAACGAAGAAGCTAACACCCACAAGTCGATCTCGTGCTCGTGGCCAATTCCATTTCTGCCGCGCGGTCCCTGTGCGTATCCAACACAAGCGACGGCAGTTCAGCTTTCCCGGCGAAAAAGGCGTTCGGACTCCGGAGCAGCCCGCGCGGCAACGACCGTGTCGTGTGCTAGCTGTGCCAGCCCAGCCGACGAGAGCTCGGCGTCACGGCTGGATCACGCGTCCGTCCGTCCATGTCCATCCATCCGCTCCCACTGCACAGGTGGACAGCCATGGAGCCGAACACGAAAGCAATGGCGAGGAGGTGATCAGTAGGTGAGGGTGAGCTGGGGCAGCGCACGCGCGAGGTGCACGCAACGCAGACGCAGGCATCCCGCCGAAGCAGCAGCAACACGAGGAAGCGGTACAAGGCGCGTGCATCGAAACAGCAAGTCGCCAAGCGGGCGCGGACAAGCCCCAAGCCTACACCGGACCGGGTGTAGTATTTGTAAAGCAAAGCAAAGAGAGAAAGAAAAAATGATAATTATTGGAATTTAATATGCCTCTCCGGTAGTACAGCTTGAATTGATTGAAGACCTCTTGCTTATTGTTCGTCCGTGCTAATCAACGAAACCAAACGAATTAATGATTATGTTAAGCGGCGGCGGCGGGCGGCGGGCACTCAATCGAGCATTGCGGTTGCAGCTAGCAGCAAAAGGCCAGGCGCCCAGGCCCGGCAGCGTACGCCAAGGGCGACGCGACGACGTGGAAAGGACGAGCAGAGGAGCGAGCGACGACAGCTGAATGCCATCACGACACGTCGACGGGCTTGCAGAGGAACAGCAGCGACGACGGCTGCTGTCTCCCGCGCTTGCCGGCGCTGGGTCCCCCGCCGCCGCCGCCGCCGAGGCGCTCGTAGCAGTCGATGGAGAAGAGCGAGAGCGAGAGGGAGAGCGACAGGTGGTGCGCCCGCGCCGCCTGCGCCTGCGCCTGCGCCAGCCGATCCAGCGCCGGGCCGAGGCAGAGGCGGTAGAGGCGGCGGTACCCGCCGAGCGCGGCGACGACGGCGCGGGTGGCTGGGCCCGCGGCCGCCGGTGGCGCGGGGGGGCCGACGTGGCGGAGGCACAGCGCCTCCCAGACGGCGTCGCGGCGCGCCACGGCGGCCCAGAGGCGGCACACGCAGGAGGCCGCGGCCAGCGACCGCCCGTCCAGGCGCGACAGGATCTCCGCCAGGATGTCGTCGTTGTCGTTGATGTTGTAGCTGCCGCTGCCGGCGCCGCCAACGCCGCCGCCACCCAGCAGCTGGATGCGCAGCTCCAGCTCCGTCACCTCGACCGCCTCGCCCGGCCGCCGCGGCGCGCCTGCGCCTGCGCCTCCCATCTCTGCCCGCTGTATGGTTGGCATACGTACGTGCAGAGGCAGAGGCGGGGGAGTGGAGTGGAGTGGAGGTGACTGACTGAGGAACCGACCGAGCAGGGCACACTGGGAGTGACGAGGGGCAGCGGGCGGAGAGCGTATATATAGGGAGGCGGTGGGGTTTTGACTCTGTTTCTACGCGTGTGGGGGGGACTGGGGGCCCATCCCAAAAGGCGATTAATAAAGAGAAAGCTACCGGTGTTCCAATGGCAGTCGCCGTGGAAGCTGAGCTGAGAGCGGGTCGTCTGGCTAATTAATCGCCCAAGTCAGACACAGACAGTCGCGCTCACACCACAGACACCCCGTCCGTCCGTAGGAGTAGTAGTAGCAAAGAAAAAGGGATCCGAAGGGCGAGATGGGGCCAAGCGGGACGGACCAAGGGGCGTGGAGATGCGCGACGTACGTTACGTTACGTTAAGTAGGCGCTGCGACATGCTAGGGATTTCACTCCTTGCCGATCGAGCAGGTGAGCGGCGAGGGAGGGAGGGAGGGAGCGAGGCACGAGCACGACCTGCCCTGTCTGTTCCAGTTCCAGCGTTACTTGGCTCGCCAGCGCGTTGCGCGCCCAGCCTCCAGCTGCGCCTCCGCGACACCCCGACCGGAACCAGCGTTCGCTAGCATGCATGTGTCGACGCACCCGTGCCGTGCACCGCCAGGCCGCCAGTTGTCAACAATCTGCTCACTACTGTAGCTTGGCCAATCCGCCAATTGTCAAGGGCACGCAAGCGACGATGTCGTCCGAAATTCGTGCACACGCACGTACGGTAGTCGGTCCGTCCACTATGCTTATCAGTTTTTTTTTTTTTGAAAATTTATGCTTATCAGGTTCACCCGCTAGTGACAATAGAAGCGTAACTTCTACCTCAGAGAAGATTCGGTATACCGATGTAAAATTTTACCAGAGAAGAATTCAAATAATCTAAAAAATGTTATAAATATATACAAATTATCATTGTAGATTATATGTCCTAAACTTATATAATTGTTAGTAGAAATATGTAAAGTTTGTTTTTCTTTCTGCTTAAAATTAAAATACACTTGTCGTTCTGCACCGATACAGAACTAAGTGACACCACGCATGCACGTGGCACGGTCCGTTGGAAATTCTGGTTTCTAGAACCAATATCTGCAAGTTACCTAAACCCGGCCAGTAAGGGCCTGTTTGATATAGGGCGCAGGGGTGGCCGAGCCCGTCAACGCTGGGTCCATAGCAGACACAGGGGTTTGTTTAATTTCCTACAGCTGCATAGCCTGTCCGAGCCGGCCCAGTGTTTGATTTCAAGCACACAACCAGGCCTAGCACCAACTACCTCCAACTACCAGACTGAGATCATGTTTGATTCCGGTCTGGCTGGGCAATAACCAGCAACCAACAACAGCAAGAATAGATCACAAGGAAGACAGCAGCATAAGGATCAATGCTTAATGAACAAGTGCATAATCGAAACAGACTTTTACAAGGTGCCAAAATACAATTAATTGACAACACATTGGCCTCAGACTACTTAGGTAATTAACCATGGATTCATAGCTGCTCAAAGCTTACAAATTACTAATGAAGTAAGGCAAAATACCAACATGAACAGCCTAATCAGTAAGCAGCAGTACTTGAATAATCAAAGGAGATAGGCAACAGAAATAGATGACACAAATTAGTAAGTCACATCAGCAGCTCATCCATCATGGGGGTGTAGTCATCACAGGCCTAAGTGGGGCTGTCGTACCTGTCAGTGTTGCCCCCCTTCATCCATATCCCAACCACCAAGATAACAAGTGCGGTGATTAACATCTTCTTCCACCAACCACCCTTAGCGTTACCATCAGAAGGAGGAATGATTGGAGCAAAAGCATCATGAGTGACAGGATCAATAGGTATGGGAGGTGCTGCTCCATGAGATGGATGGACATCTCTCATTGCTGCCTGATAATCTCTAACAGCCTGGTCATAGTTGCTTTACTTCTTGTATATAGCACCTCTCACCCCAAGAACATGACTACGTCACTCCTGCCAACTCTGGTAAATCCCAAGATGCTTTCCATTGAAAACAACATAGTACCCAACCATTTCTGTGAAATCAAACAACGGTTTAACCTCAGTCAAATGTAATCCATGAAACTAGCCATGAGTGTGGAACTTGAAGATCTACGGTTTGCGGTGAAACAAATCGTTGATCTTAAGTCCCTCACTGATGACCCGCATCATCAGGTTCAAATCAACAACAACTATGACATCACATGCAAAGTATGAAATGAGTGGCCTTAGCTTTAAAATGAGGTGGTGTTCATCAAGTTGTAATCATTGGTGGCTGCCTTTGACAAATTGAAAACCACTACAACAACAAGTTACAAACTGTAGTTCATGGCTGCCATGGAATCCATGTGCACATCCATACACTGCAATGAACACAAGAAAGAAGGGGCTGTTGCTAGGGTATGGATGTGTCACATGGATTTGATGACATACATGACAAAACAGAATAATCGGGTAAACATGGCAGCTAGTAAACAAGTACAAATCCAAGGTCATGACTGCCATCAAACCATATTGTGCACATCCATTCACTGATGTTGACAAGTGAATTGATGGGCACACATAGGGTTCCATGTCTGTGATGAAAAACATGAAGAACCAATTTAAACAAGACAACCATCTCATGAATATATTGTTTGCATCATAGGCCTTATAGATTTCCCACAGTTACCACCAATCAAAAGAAACAAAAGCAACAGGTCATAAGTAACAGACATGAATCCAACAGATGTAAAAGAAACCAACAGTTGTAGAAGAAACCATAAACAGTACCAACTAGAGCAGCCAACAGAGGCCACTAATAGTGCATTATAGATAGCACTACAGCCTCACAGATGTAGGCTCAAATAAAGTCCATCTTGCCCAAAGTTACCTATAGTTAGCCACCCTCCAACTACACTTACCCAAAAGGACAGGTGTGAATCAACTAAGCTGCACAAAAGCTACACCAAGGAGTGTACAAAAGGTGAGAGAGTGGATAAGGGAGGTGGAGGAACTATACATCTCAATAGTCAACCCCCTCTTGGTCTTGCTGTCCTAGATGGACAGAACTACATATAGTAGTTCTTGGCAAGTTAGTTCCTCAGCCAAATGTCCCTATGGTTGATTGCCATGTTCACAAAGCCCTTGCCAAGGGCCTTGTTCTCTAGCAGGTAGGTGTAGGCAACAATGAGAGCTTCAGTGGTGAAGCCAGGCATCTCCAACACTGCAAGGTACAAGTTAGTACCCCTACCAGGCCGCATGGCATTGCAAATGACATCTCTCCTATTAGACATGCCAGTGGAGTCCTAGGACAGCATGTCTCCCATAGGCTAGGTTTCATCACCCTCAGGCTAGCTGCCTAGGAAGCCTTCCTCTTCTAGCACTACTTCATCCATGCTAAACCCAATGATCCAATTATGGAGAATACAATAGGCTAGTACAAGCTTCACTTAAGTCTTGTATGGGTGGAAAGGTTTATTATGTAGGATATGAAGTCTGTTCTTGAGTGCACCAAAAGCTCTCTCCAGTGTCACCCTAAGGGATGAATGCCTTAGGTCGAACAGTTCCCTGGCATTGGTAGGATAATTGAGGCTCCCAAATCCAGACAAGTGGTACCTCACCCCCCTATAGGGAGGGGAGGAAACTAGTGCGGCAAGCATAGCCAGCATCTATCAGGTAAAACTTCCCTACAAGTGGACCAAAAGATATACTACAGTGAGGGTGTGGACTAATAATTTCAATTACCTTCAGGAACTATGAACCCATCATTCCTGTCAATTGCATCAGCAAGAACGAGTGCATCATGGGTAGAGCCCTCCTAGCCAGCTAGGATATAGGTGAACTTGAGATCAAAGTCTACATCAGCCATCACATTTTGTGTGGGGTTGTGTTTCCTACCCCTGAAAGCCTATTGCATGTGTCTAGGCACCCTTGCCAACACATGTGTGCCATCAATGGCACCAACACAGTCCTAGAAATGTGTAGGATAGTGGATAAGTGTAAACATAACAATTAGTTAAACCTAAGGCAGATAAACATGATTAACAAGTACCTGCATATATGGGTACCATCTCTGGCTACCCATGATTTTTGGATGTGTGGCAGTGGTAGGAGGGTTGATCATTTCATTCCTAAGCCCACCAACAACATAGAGAACTTGGTGGAAGACTCTACTAATTGTCTCAATGGACCTCCTAAAAGACTAGTGAACTACCCTGAACCTCTGGTTGTGACCAACCACATAGAGGAACATTATAACCTGCTCCTCAATAGAACACCCACTGGTTTCTCTAACAAGGCCTCTACCTCTAAATAGGTTGCATAGAGCAAAAAAAGGAGCTCTGATCATACGCAACATAGCCAAACACTCGGCATCAGTGTTGTTAAATATCATTTGGAGGGTGGATAGCCTATGCTGCTGGCTTAATGACCTAAGACCATAAGGGATAGGCTCTAGCTAGGCCCTAATTCTTCTCAGTCTAGTGACAAAAAAAGAAAGCATAACCACAACTATGGCAGCTGCATGCCTGGCCATCATCTCAGGTTGTGCAGTTGGATCCATCTACATGCATTCAACATTCAAAGATACAACTTAGCTATAGTAGACCCTGGCTAGCCTCAATATGAAAGTGCAATCATTCATATCAAAAGCTAACAGTACGACTGCATAAAAAGTCCATTTTTGGCCCTTCAACTATGGCTGCAGTTTGTTTCTAGCCCTCTAACTCGAAAACCAGACATGCGCAGTCTATTAACTCTCTAAACCAGTTAAAAGTGGCCCTCGCGCCGGGGCGACGGCGGTTTCCGCCCAGTCAACCCGCCACGACCACGGTATTGGCCCATTTTCATTTTCTCGCGGCCCAAGTACTCCCGCACTCTCCTCTCACTCTCTTCCGTTCGTTCCCCAACCTAAACCCTAACTCCCCAACGGCTGTGACGGCAATGGCGACGG